ACCCTGAAACCCTATACCGCAGTTTGTAGATCCTTTTTCAGGGTCAGCCATGTGGATGAGTCACGGCCATTGCTTGACCAATTGTGAAAGCCTGAGAGAATGTTTTCTCTCCATGTGACTCTTTAGGCACACATTACCAGTCATATGGATAGCCCACTACTATCATAGACTACTGGACTACATTGGATTACTTTGCTGAATTCATGCACCTTCAATATGTGAATGGCAATGGAATACCCATGTCTGAAAAAAGTAAATAAAAAAGGGGATACAAATGAAAGACCATTTTGTAGTGAAAAAATATGTATATACAAAATAGCATAGATATACAGCTATTTTCTATTAGTTCAATAAGAAGAAAATTTTGAATAGCGTTTAGGCACGATATCATGTCTGCATCTTGTGCTATGAATAACTACTACACAGACAACAATAAGCAATGTATGAAATATTAGTATTATTATTTTTGAGGTACTGGGGATTGAACTCAGAACCCTGTGCTTGCTAGGCAAGCACTTATTCTACTGACCTATCCCCTGGCCCCTGCAATGTATTAATTATAACTATCCTACTAACCTGTTTTGAAACTGTCTCATTGCTACTTCTTTCTCAATAAATTATTTAAAAAAATAAAAAAATAAAAAAGGAGAGAAGATAAAAAGAAAGGGAGGGAGGGAACCAGGAAGAGAGTGGGGAAGGAGGAAGAGGAAGAGGGAATGAGAGAGACGACTGAATACCAGAAGAGGAGGGGGTGTCGGGGCTGTGAGCTGCCTCACTGGAGCTTGGTGCAGGAGGGAGATTCGAATGGGGCGGGGTCCGTGACCACAGGCCCAAGTTGAGGTAAAGCTCCTTGTCCAGGGAATCCTTTTCCATCACTGAAACAGAATGTCTGTCTCCTCTCCTCTTTGAGTCTTTGCAGCCTTCCCCATTATGCCTTCTAAGTAATAAATTTTAATGCATTTTTTATTTCTAATTGATGGATAATACCGTTTACGTTGATGGGTAAACATGGTGCTTTTATACCTTGTGAAATGCCTAAATAAACACGCATTTCTGCACATAGCTGTCATTGGGCCAGACAACCCATCAGAGCTCCATCTGCCCTCGTTCTTGGGAAATGAATAGATTATTATCATAATCACTGGTTATTAAAAAAAATTAGCCTCTGCTTTCTTTAAAATGTTTTCATATATTTCAGTCTGGGCTCCTTCTCCCTCTGGGTGTCTTTCTCCATAGGATCCAACTCAGTGACTTAAGACACAATTGCTGACAAGGAATCCCTGGAATCTTTGTGACAATGAAGGTAGCAAGCAACCTTTCAATGTATTTCCCAATTAAAAAAATCCTTCATTACATAATACATTTCAGGGTGAGTGTGTTAAAAATGTTTCATAGTTTCAGTAATTGTAGCTTCTTCCTGAAGCCTGGCATGCTGTGGAATCATTTGCAAAGCGCCTATTTTGTTTGGAGCTCAGGAAGCAGCTTGCCAGGCAATACATTTAATTAAGAATGCAAAAAAGGAAATAATTGTGGTCATTCACGGTATATTATCAATACTTTTAAGTTGTAAAACTTATTGTTACTTTTAAGACAGTGTTCTCCTAACAAGGTTTGTGTTTAAAGCTAGAGGTAATTTCCTTTTTATCAGCCCAGGGTTTTTATGCAGAGGAATATATTATTTTTAGGGGAAAGGTACATTAGCTAGGTCCCTTAGATATAATTCTTTATCTATTTTTTCAGTTACCAAGAGCCTCAGCAGTTCTCCTTAGAAACAACCTTTTTCCATTGTTTAAGACCTTGAAAATTGATGCATTGCCTTTCGGGAGCTTAGACAGCTTTATTTAAGTTTAGCTTTCTCTGGAGAAGCACAGGAGTAATGAAACACGATGTCTTCTTGAACACAATCATGTACATAACTTCTAGTCTTTCCTGATGTGTAAAGTGAATCTGATAACAGCAATTCAACTATGGCAATGATTAATGTTGATTTTGTTTAAAAATCATGAAGCAACTTATGTCAGCAGATTCAGAGACATGATGATAAACAGTTTTAAGGCCAGTTTTTTACTGCACTGGACAGAGTGCTCCATGCGTACAGGCAAACTTTCTTATAATGATTTTGGGAGATGCCACGGGAAGAGGACATGACCAGTGGAAGAAGGCCAGAGTGCACACACTTTCCATGTTCAGATATACAGGTGTAGAATACTCTGACCACCTAATTTGTGTGAGCTGCCCCTGTCCTTTATCATTCCACAGTGTGCTTCTCCTTGTGAAAACTATATTCCCCTAAGAACAAATATACCAGATATAACACTAGCACAGCTACCATCGGAGAAAATCTAAGGCATAAAAAAAGATGTAGGCAGAAAGAGCATCCGCACCCCTTCTCGTCTAAATCCTCTACCTCTTGTTCTCATGAAACTTGTCCACATGAGCAGCTTATTCTCTCCCATCTTTCTTGTTCACCCTCCTTCCTTCAAAGCACTTAAAATTGCTTCATTGAACCATTCCTTCAGGTTCCCATTCTGTGGCCCAAAAAAGCGACAAAAATCCAGTAATTAAAATTCTGAAGGCTGATGGCAGCTTTCCACAGAGGGGCAGGAAATAGGGGCAAGAGGAATTTAAGTGGATGAAAATCTATGTTAACTCAGGGGACCATTTGCCTATTTTTCCAGTTTAAAGCTGATAGAAAAATATTTCCCTGCCATACCACAGCCTCACTCGCTGTACACATCTCCTATCTTGAAAGAGAGGATTTCCTAGTAAAATGATCTACGTATAGAGATGTGTGAATAATTTCACACTGTAATGCTCCAAAATCAGCATCTATTTTCTTTTGCAGCAGCACTGCTTTTGTATCGATACAGTCAATACTAAAACATAAACGGAAAGCTGCTCCAAAAACACAGAACTTGATGGAGCTCCTTCTCCTTTCCTTTACCTACACTGAGCCCAGACTTTATTCCACGACTTTGAGAGCCAAAGTTGCTTAAAGTGACAACAACTCATATTTCTGAGTGCTTGCTTGCTTAGAGCAATGTTTGGAGAAATTTGAAGAAACAAGTTCATGCAATTCTCAAGATATCTTTCAGCATAAGTGCTCGTATTTTCACTGAGGAGAAGCAGGGGGCTAACTTACCTTTCTTGATTTAGATATAGTAGGAAATAGCCTCTCTTGGGAAATAGAACAAGATAATGCAGTTCCAGATTCATACTCATCCATTGAGATATACATTTTTTTTTACTCTCGAAAGAAGAGATTACTTAAGAAAGTAGACTGAGGAAGAACAGAGAGGAGAAATAAGCCATAGAAGGATGAGTGCATGAATGGTATCTGCCGCAGTGTGCGGCATCTGCGCAGTTCAGTCTATTCGCAATTTGATAAATGTGCGGCAGCTGTCTTTGTAACGTATATTTCTTCAGAATACAGAACAAGTCTTTGGGGCCAAGTAGTTTTTTTCTTTCTTTCTTTCTTTGCTTGTGTAAAGATTTTTTTCTTTTTTGAAA